CCGGCCCCGCAGCCCCCCGGGATCCAGCACGGGGGGAGCTCTGAGGACGTGAAACTAGAACAGCGAAATCGAAGGGCAGAGCGCTGGTTTGGTCTCCCGGCAGGAGCTGTGAGTGATTTCGTTGCTTCTCCTTTTCAGGTATTGACTTTAAAATTAGGACGATAGAGCTCGATGGCAAGAGAATCAAACTGCAGATCTGGTGAGGCTCCTGTGCCGCGGGGGGTGTCCGGTCACCGGGGCTGTGCGTGGGGACGGCGGTGTGGTGCTTTTATTCCAGTTGTGCTGTTCAGTAGTTTATGGTATCTTAGAAGCTAAAACTCGGTCCTAGTGAGCCTAAAGACTGGTTCGAGTTAAATTCTTTGACTCTTCGGTGGTGTTATCTCGGGTCGGTGCTGGGGGTGGTGTGTGAGCCCCGTGTCCTGTCTGTTCCAGGGACACGGCCGGGCAGGAGCGATTCCGGACCATCACCACCGCCTACTACAGGGGAGCCATGGTAGGAGCAGTCCTGGGATCCGGGCTGGGATAAACCCACCTGGGAGGGTCAGGGCAGCTGGGGCTGAGGTGGGACAGGCACAACTGACCTTCTGTGCCAGGCTGAACCCTCAGCTGTGCTCCTGCTCCTGCCCATGCTGGGCTGACATGGGACTTTGTAGAGGGACCTTTCCCCATGTTCCACTCTATAAATACACATCCTGCACCCCTTATCTCACTGTGAACTGTGTTAAAAATAGTTCTTGTTAAGTTGCTTGTCTCTGCTACAGATGAGCCTTTAACTCTTGCTGAAACAATCTTTCTCCTTCTGACCTTCAGGGCATCATGTTAGTGTACGACATCACCAATGAAAAGTCTTTTGAAAATATCCGGAACTGGGTCAGGAATATTGAAGAGGTAATTTCTCTACTTGCTGACTCTTAAAGGTGCTGTTCCCTCCTCTAAAAGTGATTGAAGCTTAATTGCTTCAGAAGTGTTATCCTTCTTGTGCTGGAGGGTACTTGGAAAATAAATAGGATGGAAATCAGTAACATTTGTTGTTCTATCCGTGGGATGGAAGTTGGTAACACACTGACTTGGCTGACAGTGATTTGTTGTGGGGGCCTGTTGTGTGATTTGTTGTGTTGCCACTGTACTCTTGAGGGCACCCAATGTGATGGTTTCCTGCCACGACAAGCGATCCAAGAGCTGCCGTGGTGCTGGGATGAGGGGTTGGGGGAGCCTGGAAATCTGCAGGAGGTGCTCAGCACCAGCATCTCCACGTTGGGTACTTGAGTGGTGCCTCCTGTGCCTGCCAGTGTGGATGTACAAAAGCCAAGCCCGGTGTCTGCTCTGTCTGTCCCAGCACGCGTCTCCAGACGTTGAAAAAATGATCCTGGGCAACAAATGTGACGCAAACGACAAAAGACAAGTTTCCAGAGAGCAAGGGGAGAAGGTGAGTGCTCTGTGGCTTTGATGGATCTCAGCTTAGGCTTTTCAAAGTCTAAAAACTGCTTTGATTATTGTCAGCGTGGCACCACCTGAGTGGAATGATTAAACGTTCTCCAAGCTGTCGTGGCAATACATTTCCCCCCCGGGATGAAAAGCTGAGCCTGTGTTAAGGATTCTTGTTGATTATCTGTCAGGTGCAAGGCAACGAGCTGGATTTTTCTAAGAAAAAGGATGTTAGAGCTTGACATTGAGAAAATGTTTCTTTTTGGCTGAAAGCCACAGAGACCAGGTAGATGGGATGGTGTTTTCTGGTGTTAGTCGAGGCAGGGAAAGTGCATCTGCACTGCAGGTGTTACAAGGTGTCAATGCAAGAAGAAAAATAAAAGAGGAAAGAGCAGATTAAAACATGTGCAGGCTGTAAAAGAGCAGAGCCAAGCTGGTGAGAACAGGCCAGCAGCAGTGAGATTTAGTCCCTAATTGTTGCAAGTTGTGTGTGAGTAAATCCCCAGCTCCTGTGACTCGTGGCAGGAGGGGCAGAGCCCATGCCCGGGGGTGTGTTTGGAGCTGCTCCTGCAATTGTTCAACTCATGTGAAATCTGCTTTTGTTCAGCTTGCTGCCAGCTTTGGGATTAAATTCATGGAGACCAGTGCAAAAGCAAATATAAACATAGAGAATGTAAGTACAGACCCCTTCCTCTGATATTTATTGTCTTATTTGTGCAGGCAGACAGCGAGGACAGGCACCTGTCCATTGTTGGGTACAGGGGGTGGGTTGTTAAACACATTTCCCTGCCTTCCATTAAGGTGTTGTTTAACTAAAATTATGCTGATTTATGTAAATGGAACTTGGTGCTTAGGACACCACAGGGGTGTTACAGCAAAGGGCATCAGGGCAGCACAAGGGAAAACTCAGCTCATGTCTTTGTACTCAAGAACAGGATTGATAAAGGTCATTTTCCCACTGCACAAACCCTGGGTGGGGCTTTTGGGCTCAAAAAGTAGGTTGTGGATATAGAGAAGTAGCATTAAAACCTGGAGCAGGGGGAGAAAACCTGAAAATTTGATGTTCTTGAGGAGTTTGGTGTATGTAGAAACTCAGCTTATTGCTAAACAATAAAGTATATTAGAGTTGGAATATATTTGTTATTTAATTTATTTGTTAGGGTACATTTTATTTCCCCTGTAACACTGAACTGTTTGACTTGTCACAGGCGTTTTTCACTCTTGCAAGAGATATCAAAGCAAAAATGGACAAGAAGTTGGTGAGTAACTTATTTTGTCCATGGTGGATTTAAATAGGAAAACAAAAAAAAACAACAACCAACCAAAAGCCACATTGCAAGAACTTTTCACAGTGTATAAAAATTGTATCATGGTCTCTTTCATAAGGGATCACTGAAATGTTCTAGGAATGTGGTTTTAGTTCTGTCAAGCTGTGCTCTGACCTTGGCTTGTAAACAACTGTCTCTGCATTTCAGGAATTAGCTGAGGTTTTCTAAATAAAATGATTTATTTGTTTTATTAAAAGTCACGTGGGGGGTAGAGCAGTTTAATGATACTTCTCACTCTTGCAGTCTGAAAATCATATAAATCATAAAGATAGAGGAGGCAGGGTAGAAGATTTAAACTGTTTCAGAATAGGTGTAGAACTAATATTTTTTGATAATCTTTGCAAAAGCATCCTGAGCAATGACTGGGTTACCTTTTTACAACAAATAAATACAAGTTGGTTTGTTCTTTATGAAATATGAAATGAAGCTGATGGGGGTTCCTTCTGCTCTTACTGAGCTTTCCACCCTCATGTGTTCAGACATAAATTGATTGACCTGGGATATTTTGGGTCTTGCTGACCATTCATAAGTGTTTCAGCAAGAGCCAGACATGCCCTTTAATTTATTATCTTTTAATCTCAACTGTCTTTGTGTTAATATAAAGAAGAAACATGGATGCAGTGTGAGCTATTAAAGCCAAAAGCTGCAGATGCAGCTCTAGAAATTTTTGTCGTGCCTGGTTTAAGACTGAGAAATGAGTGAAACCTCCTGTTGGTTTTAGGGAAGGTTTTTGGGTACGTCAGGCTTGGCTCAAGAGAATGACCAGATGAAATAGGAATGGGAGAAGCTGTGAAGTGTAAATGAGTAACTGAATATTCTTTGCCTCTTCAGGAAGGCAATAGCCCACAAGGCAGCAACCAGGGAGTCAAAATCACACCAGACCAGCAAAAGAAAAGCAGCTTTTTCCGATGTGTTCTTCTGTGAGGGACACGGCCTTAACCTGAGCTGGACTGTGCCTGTGCTGAGTGAGGTTTCCTCTGTCTATGGACTTAGTGCTCCCAACAAACCTTGTCTGGTCACAACAAACTCTGTGACCATCTGAATAAGAAATGGTTTATTTTGGTAATTGTTTGACTCTTCAATTTTGGAGACAAAACAAGTTTATTTTTGTCAGCTGGCCGCTGGGCGCGTGTGCTGTGTGGCAGAGGGGGACAGATCTCACGTGGCCCGGGGATGCAGCACCTTTGCTGACAGACTTCAACCTTTGTGTCCATAACTCTCATGCATCCAGTGGAGAAGGATGAAGTTATGATCAAAACAAGACCCAGAAATGCCCATGTGAATAAAGTCCAGGTGTGTGTACATGGTACATGTGCATATCCAGTCTGGAGCTGCACAAGGAACAGTGGCATCAGACCATCCCAGAAATGCCCCCGGGGGAGCAGTGCAGGCTGGGGCTTTCTGAGGAGGTAGGAGGGAGCTTTCTGCAGCTCCACCTCTTTGCTACTGCAGAGAAGCTCCTTTGCCTGTCACTTACTCAGTTGTGTTACTCTT